CAATCCAGTGAGGGGAATGTTTTTTTCTACCTTTCTGTAGATGATGAAATGGGGCCGGAAGTTGTTTGCTACAAAAGCGATATAAACCAAAATGATTTGACTACAGTATTAGGCCTACTTTTGAAAGTTTGCAACCAAGAGATTGAATTAAGCTAAATTTGGCAGGTTGGAATAGGTGTCTCTTGAGAGGTGTTAATAAAGAAAAAGAATGGCTATTAGGAATTCAAACAACAAATGCTGGCAAGGATACCTGGAATAAGGAACCCTCATACACTGTTGGTGGCACTGTAAATTAGTGCAGCACTATGGAAAACAGTATAGCATCTCCTCAAACTAAAAATAGAACTACCATATCATTTGGGCATATATCTGAAGGAACATAGGTCAGGATATGATTGAGACAATGTCCATGCCCGTGTTCATTGCACCACTATTCACAATAGCTAAGCTTTGGAATCAGCCCAGCCTAGATGCCCTTCATCCTGTGGATGGATTTAAAAAAAAAACACAAAAACAACTGCGTGAGGTATATATACACAATGGAGTATTACTCAGCCATAAAAAGAATAAAATGATAGCATTCACAGGAAAACAGATGAAACTAGAGATTGTGTTCAGCAAAATAGCCAGGTTCATAAGGACAAGGTCCATGTGTTCTCCCTCATGTGGAATCTAGACCTAAATGTATATGTATGTGCATACATACATATACATACACACACAAACATGACTAATCAAGGTACTGTTTGGGGTGACGAGGGGGAAGAGGGAAAGAGAATGAAGGGGAGGGAACAATGCTAAAATACATTTGTGTGTGATGGTAGCCTAGGCAGCTCACTGAAAGCTGTTGGGAAAAGGGGGTGGGAGTATGGGGAAAAGAGCGATAGAGGGTAATCTGATCAGTGTACAATATATGCACGTGTGAAATAGTGTAATGGTGTAGCCCCTTTGTACAATTAACATACACTAACAGTGCGTATTTTAAAAAGCATACAAGGGTCAAATTTTGTGTGGTGCCTCTTATATGTGAGGAAGCACCAAGCTGTTTTCTCTGCCCTCTGGAAGTTGATACTGTGCAGCTCTATCACAAAGCAGAACAAAAGCATGACACCAATAAATGGAAATACTGTAAAGTATTTTATCTCTACAGGTCCATTCATGCAGAGGGCATTTATTGGGGACTGTCTGCAGTGCTGCCAAAGGTTGCACCAGAAATGCAAGATCTGACCCTTGCAGGTCAAAAATTTATAATCTAAATTAGAAAGATGGGCATATATATAGAGAATAGTTAGAAAATAATCCCCAGGTGTTAGATAGCAAGAAGATGGGGAAGGTTGTTAGTTCTTTCTGTTTTGTTTTCATAAGAAGAGCTTTGTAACTATATGTCTAGTGGAGATCAAGAGAGAAAATTCTAGATCCAGTCAAAGCAAGAGTGCCTATATGCATCACTAATCTATGGAACAGTACACAGGGCCTGCAGCAGCCCTACCACTTAACTATTATAAGGTGATTATGCCATCCTTTTCCAGCTGCTGTGTTATGTTCCTCAGTCATATACATATTCAGAGTTCTCATTTTACAAAACCACCTTTACGGTCCCCTCTAGACTAAGCTCTCAAGGGCAGGGACCAGGTTGATTGTTCTCATCATTATGTGTTACCATGCCTAGCAGAATGGTACATGTATTTAATAAGGGCTTGTTTGAATAAGGGGGGGGGGAGCAAAACAATGTCACTGTAAGAGCTTAAACTCTGTATTGTAAAATGGACAGCTGAGGGTAGCAGTGTAGTCATTCTGTGAACATATTAAGATCATGTGAAAATTTGAATTTGGAAGTTTTAAGATTAACTTTTTGTATTTTTGAGAATTGCTGGATGTACTAGACACAATGAATTTAACACAGCCAATTCCAAAATGTTACTAAAGTAAGTTTCTGGTTATTAGGAGGCCAAATAATGCAGAATGAAAAATTTCTCATTTCTCCCTAGTATCTTATAGATAACTCTTATGTTTCTGGTATGTCTTTCTAGAGATTTTTTATTTAGAGGGCTTGGGGTAGCTCTGTGGTAGTGTGTGTGCTTGGCATATTGCAGTGTAGTACCCTGGGTTCAATCCCCAGCACTAAAAATTTATATATGGAAAAATCTTACTTATATTATGTATATGAGTACACATAGTTTTCATATCCAAATGAGATTTTGCAATCTATTCTATATCTTGGTGCTATCATGTCTTGAGAGCTGCTTCATTTTTTACTGCAAGACTTCCTGTTGTATGTACATTCCATGTTAATAAATATAACAAGTTATGTGTACCACCCTGAAGAATACAATGTAATAGTGATTTGCAAAGCCAGATGTAATTCCTACCATATTATGAGTCTTCTCTGTTCTGTTGGGATAGATGTTAGGTTGCACTAATGTATAGTCATTCTTGAGACATCTTTTGATGGAAAGAATATTTAACCAGGATGTGCAGGTAGAGAAGGTATCTCGTAAGGCAGATCATGCCAGTTTCTATTGGTTGAGATGGGATCTCAGGAACAGTTTTGCTTCTTGTGTAGCTAGGATTACTGTCCTGAAAGACATCATGCCTGGCTCTTCTATAGTTTGTTCTTTTTTTTTTTTTTTTAATGGAACATTATTTTGTTTTTTCCTTGAGACAGTGTCTCCCTACATAGTCCAGGCTGATGTCTAACTAACTCTCATCCTGCCACAGCCTCCTGAGTGCTAGGACTGCAGGCATGTACCACTTTGCCTGGCCAAAGACAAGTTTTTGCTTGGCTTTATTATTTTGTGGTGCTAAGGATCATTCCTAGGGCCTTACACTTGGGTGGACAAACACTACCACTGAGCTACATCCTTAGCCCCCATGGAACATTTTTATAAGTGAATAACTAAGGCTGGAGATGGACATAATTAAGACTTTTGATAGTCCTGTGGCCAAATTACTTTCTAGAAAAGTAAAGTTTAAGGAGTATTATCCAGACTTAAAAGAACGCATGGCATTGAAAGAAAATCCTTGACCTCAAGAAACTAATCCAGTTGCATTTCTTTGGGACTAAGCTTCATTACTCTCATTTTTTAATTAGTATTCATAATTGTTTGCTAAATATTTTGTAAATGCTGGCTAATTGCTTGGCATTACTAAAGAACTTAATCACTACTAGGGGTTATTTAAAGCACATGGAAAATAGTTTAAAAGAATTGGATACACTGGAAAGAAGTCTTCCTTATAATTAAAGGACAGACACTGGATCAGTAATAATATTTCCCTCAAAATCACTACTTGACAGCTTAAACTCACATCTTAGCTCTAATCCCAGCTACTCAGGAGGCAGAGACAGAGGATGGCTGTTCAGTGCCACCCCAAGCAAAAAAAATTGGCTGGACCTTATCTCAAAATCAAGCTGCCCATGGTGGCACATGCCTATGGAGTTTAAGCAAGCCTGGGCCAAAAGGCTCAAGTGACAGCCCTTGCTAGAGGTCCTGGGTTCATTTTCCAGTACTGCAAAAAGACAACAAAGAGACCATTGCTAAGTAATTCACATATTAAGCACATTAATGTGGAAGTGATAACGTCTTAGGAAATTTTGTGAGTTCTGAGGTTTTAATTTTTGGAGGGTTTGTTTTTTATTAGTATGAATTAATTGTGCAAAGGGGTTCATTGTGATACTTCCTTGCATCCATAAAGTGTACTTTAATCAGATTGACCCCATCTATATTAATTATATTTTTGTAATATAGATCCTCATTTTAACAGTTTTTAGTGGGTTTTATTATAGATTTTAATTTTTATGTGGGAGTGTATCTAAACTTAGTTTAATTTTTTTAGTTTACGGATTTCTTAATGGCATTCAGTTGTGTTTCGACCTGAGTATGATGCATTTACTCTACATTTATTTTTACTTTTTCTCTCTTTGGTTGTATTTTGTCTTTTTTTTTTTGAGATGGTTTCACTAGCATTAGCCTAGAACTTGCTGGTGTAGTAGCCCAGGCTGCCCTCAAACTTAGGATCCTGTTGCCTCAACCTCCTGAATGTGGGGATTCCAGGTGTGTGCCACTGTGCCTGGCAACACAAAGTTTGGTTTTTCTAAAGCAGTATTTTCTAAGTTTTAGTCTTTTAGTGGGAAGCAACTTAGGGCATGTTCTGATAAATCCTTGTAGTAAATTTATTTAGATCTGGCAATCAAGAGTGTTGATAATATGCCTGCATACCCAAAGGAGTCTGGTGGGTGGGGGCGGAGGGGTTGTTATCAGTGGCATTAACATATGGTACCCTTGAAGAGATAGTGAAGGTTTACCTGGCATAGATTGGAACCCAGGGCTTTACAATTATGAAATAGTTTCAAGGGCCTGATATTGGTTCAGAGATTTGTTTGATGCAGGGATTATTAATTAAACTTCTATTTATTTATTTATTTAAAAAAAAGTCTCCAGGGACAGGTTTTGGTTTTTTAACATGAATTTCATAAAATACTGTTGTGGATTTGTTCTGAGATGCTAGGTAGCCTAATAAAAAGCTAAGCAAAATTGGCTAACCATGAATATTAAAAGAATTGGAATAAAAATCCTCTATTTACTAACTTTCTGTAATTCTAGCAAATACTAGATTCTTTACTCACAGTGTTATTAACAGTCTCTTGACATGCTTGTTTTAAGCAGTATCCTCTGAAAGATTATTTTCAGTAAATACTTAGAAAGTATGTTTCATGAATTTTTCTTAAACTGATACTATTTCAAAGGGAATATACAGAGGTTGGGGATGTAGCTCAGTGGTAGAGCACTTGCTTAGCACTCACAAAGCTCTGGGTTTGAATCTCCAGCACTGACCAAAAAAAAAGCCAGTTTTTATTCCCTAAAATAAAGGGAATGTACAGAGTATACATTTCTTGGGATAGTTTTCAATGTACTATTGATTCAAAGGGTTTTAGCTTCAAATGTTTATTGGTTTTAACTACATCGTATACTTTTTTTTAACTTTGATATTTCTCTCCATAGATATTTGGAGTTCTTGCAACATGGCAGACATTGACAAGTAAGTAGCAGATAGTTCTTTTTCAGAGGTTTGGAGTCATTACTATGATGTGGTTAATATTGGTACAGATTATGAAAATGTATGGTAATGACTAATGCTTGATTCCTACTATTTGGAAAGGTAGGGTACAGTGTATTCAATGTAAAATGTATAATCACTATCATAAATACAGTAAACCACTTACTAGCATATATTCTTAGGAAAGTGCTGAACACATTATTGATAATAAATCATAAATATTTGCAAAATTCTTTTTTTACCAGATACATTTCTCAAAGATTTTCTTAGTTACACCATAATGTGTCGTGTGTATAAAATGTATTTGTAGAGTTTGGACATTAACAAAATAGTTAAGTACAAGGTAAGCATAAAACACTACTGTTAGAAACCCTTTATCCCTTCTCAATTGCCTTCTCCATCTTCCCTCTGAAGCAATCATTCCAGCTTTTGTGTAGTTCATTTCTTTGCTCGTATTTAGAGTTTTACTTTCTGTAAATTCTTAATGTTTAATTTTGAAGACCTGAATAGCAAGCATGAACATGCTGTGTAAAGCAGTATTAGTTGAAGAATCCCAAGATAGGCCAATAAAAAGTCAAGGAGATTATCTGGGTAATAATCCGGTTTAAACTTTCCTGAGGCTTTTTAAGGGTCTGTTCTAGAAAAGTCATTGGGCAAGAGATACAATGCATCTTGAAACATAGGTGAAATGTGCATGTATCCCGAGAAATAGGGGTTTAATCAGGTTGTCATGTGGTAGGTTTCTAGTGTGGACTGATGTCTTGCAGAAATATGGTCAGGGAAAATAGGATGAGCTGCACAGTATTTCACCCTTAATTTCACAGTAGCCTGCCAGCTCAGACATTGACAACTAGATGGCAGATGATTGGTTCTTTTCTAGAGATTTAAACAGAATACTTAGGGATCATGAAGATTATCTGTAGCTGTTTAGGTAGCAGGGCATGGAGGTTGGTGGTCAGGAATCTCAACATGTGGAAGGCATGGAGGTGGGAGGTAATAATCCCTACACAGACAAGTACACATGAGAATTTGGGCCAGTATTCTCATGCATGCATGCTGTCTTCAGTATAAAAAATTTGAGTGGCAGCAGGCACTTTTTTAGTGATATTGTCAGAATACAATACCACTCTTAACTCTTGGTTAAGAGGCTATGACTGTGGTTCGTCTTGGTGTTTCCTTTAGTTTCTCTTCTCTTGGGTTTGCTGTTTGCTGTATTCTGTGTTACTTTCTCGTTTGGTTCTTCAGTACCTCTTGGAGGGTACACAGGAAGTAAATTATATTGATATGTAGCTTGATTGAAAATTACTTACATTTTATGCTTGATACGTTTGGGTGTAGAATCCTAAGGTAAGAACCCTTTTTTTTTCCAGTATTTTGAAGGCACCACTCCATTGTCACCTTGCTTTCAGTGTTTTATTGAAATTCAAAGTCACAATTTTTGATCATTTGTATGATGATTGCTTTAATATATATATATTTCTAGGAATTACTCTAGCTTTAGTTTTGAAACTTTCCTTTTTTAAATCTTTTGTTAGGCATTTAGTGGTGCATCCTTTCAGTCTAGCAATTCAAGTGGCTTTCAGTTCTAGGGAATATTCTTGACTTTGTTGTGTGTTTCTGTTTTCTCTTCAGCTGTTAGATGTTGTATGTTAGATTAGTCTTATTGTCTCCTGTCCTGTTTTCCGTCTTTGTCTCTTTGCTTTTCTTAGCAGAACTATAGACAACTTTTCCACTCTTGTGTTGAATTTTTAAACCTATTATTTTAGTTTCTTAAGAGTCCCTTTGCTCTTTGTCCTTGTTTTCATAGCATCCTGTTCTTGGTTCATTGATTATGTCTTTATGTGAATGTTTCTTTCCCCTGTATAGTCTGTTGCTCTTAAATTTTCTTTTCTCCATTTGTTGTAGTCTCGGTGTTAGAGGCTTTCCTCAAACATAAGTAGTACTTGGTGGTTCACCCATTAAGACTGGCATTAAGCTGGGTGTGGTTGAACATATTTATGTAATTCCAGAAAATTAAGTTCAAGGCCAGCTTGGGCTACATAGTGAGATCAAGTGGGGAGGTTGTCTGCTGGGGGGGTGGGGGGGAGATTCTTGTTGTTTAAAGCAGGAGTCAGTAAACTTTCTGTAAAAAAAAATGCCCTGAGAATAAGTATTTCAGCTATTTTAAGCCATATGGTTTCTTATAACTACTCAGCTGTGCTGGTGTAGTATGAAAGCAACCATAGATAGATAATAAATGCACAAACCAGTTAGTATGCCTGTTCCAGTAAGAATTTTAATTTATAAAAATAGAGGTAAGCTGAATTTGACAGTGTGACATAGCTTGTGGACACCTGTTTTTAAAGCCTTTAGATATAGTTGTTAAGTAAGTGATTAGAGATATTAGGGGAAGGGCTGCTCCATGTTACCTTTAACTCTTAATTGTAAGTGGCCCTTAACTCTTAATTATGCATCACTTAAATTTACATTGAATCAAAGCTACTCCAGAAATAATCTACATCATTTCTGAAGGCTGACTTTCTTAGCTGACGAGCCTAATAGCTTCCTGTACTTGTCCTTATATGTGAAAGTTAGTATTTGCTCCTGTATGAAAAGTACCTTTTTCAAATGCTGTTTAGATATGAAAGCAACTAAATCTCATCCAAATGCTATGTAAATTCATAAGAAGTTATATGGTGAAGCCAGGTGTAGTAGTGCATGACTGTAATCCCAGCACTGGAGGTGCAGAGGCAGGAGGATAGTGAGTTTGATGCCAGTCTGGACTATGTGGTAAGATCCTATTAAAAAAAAAAAAAAAAAAGGTTATATGATGACTCGTATTACAATACTACATGTTAACCTCATATTCAAAAATTTTTTTGGTGATTTCTTCAAGACAAAGTAAGAAGGATTGCTGTCTTTTTACCACCTCTTAATGGTAGCATCCTCCTGGCTTTGCTTCAAGCAAGAAGGAGGCTCAAATGTCTTAGTATTTGTTCTCCATCATTACTGTAAAGTAAATAAAAAAGAGGAAAGTCCAAAGATAGTGAATACAGGCTGGTATAGATGCTGCATAGCCATCAAGGATCCAGGATCCTTCTGTTTTTCATAAGTTTTTCAGCCTTAGCTTGGATACTTCATTTATCTCCCATGATCCAGCCATCACTCCATATTCTTAGGTGGAAGAGAAGGAGGGAGGGAACAATATTAAAAAGGCTTCTTGGCTATGTACCATTTATAAGGATGTTCCTCAAATTTTTACACTACAAATCTTTTGGTGTTTTTTTTTTTTTTTTTAATTTCATTGTCAAAACATAGTCATATACTCACATTGAGTTACAAAGTGGGCTAGGAAATGGAGACTTTTTACCTTAGTGTTGTGGTGTCTCATAAAATGAGGGTGCTGAGAAGCAAGAATGGAATCCAGGTGTATTAGGTGGAAAGCATTCTTGAGGTCCTATTTCCCCAAAATCTACCAAACCACATTTTGAAAGCTTGAACTACAAACTTTATATTTGGCTAAATGCTTTTAAATCAAAGTATTAAGTACTCCAGACATGCAGTTAGAAAAGTGAGTTACTTTTTGGTTTTCTATCATTGGAAAAAAGCATATTGATGTGGAAAATGAATTTAAGTTTTTTCTGTAATTTTTTTTTTTGTAATGATACATTTGAACCATGGTGTGATACTATGATATTGTAGCAAAGAACAGTCTGAACTTGATCAAGATTTGGATGATGTTGAAGAAGTAGAAGAAGAAGAAACTGGTGAAGAAACAAAAATCAAAGGTATTATTTTTAAATTACTTCAGGAGCCAGTAGTTGCTGGCATATGTCTTGTAGAGGAGAGTAATAAGTACCATTCCCTCTTTTGGGCTCATGGCTTTTATCCATTGGTCCACATCTTGAGTTCAGTAACTGTGTTTATGAGAAGGTAGTAAGGAAGGAAGGTATGGATATAATGACTCATCAGAAGTCACTATTTTTACCCTCCACTGTTGGAGTGACATGGTATAGCTATGTCAAACAGGTGTCTGAGTTTTATCTGAATTTAGATACTCTGGGGTATGGGGATTATTTTCAGTAAGGCTTACTATATTGAAAGCATAATAATGTGTGTCTTTTTAAAAATCCACACTTCCAAACAACAAAAAAGGCATTTATTAAATGTAGACAAAACATTCAAATTTTACTTAAGCAAAAAAGTTTAAAAGGAGTGGTAGTGATGGAGCATTGTACTGCTTTTAAGTTTTACCTTGTAGATCCGGGCCAAGAATATTTAGGCACCAGATGGTTTAACTTTTTATTTTTAAGCCAGATGAAAGTTAATTGTGAACAGACTGCACTTGTAGCTTTCATTGTTCAACATTTTCTTCAGAGACATGATATGAAACTATGTCCCCAATGGCCATTATTGTTCCTAAATGCCTATTATTGCAGTCATATATCTAGTCGTTGAATTATTAATCAGAAATAAACTGATCATCTAGAACATAATTGGGAAAATTAATAATTTTGTATAATAGCTATTCATAAAGAAGAGAGCATAGGTAGCATATTTTTGCATAAATCCAGCTTATGTTTGAATTCAGTATAATTTTTAAAAGTTACTAGTCAAATTTTGGCATTATGTACAATCTTTGCTTGTCTCAACTATTAATTTTATTTGTATATATTCTTCACTAAGCATCAAACACAAACATCTAGATCACTTGTTCCTCCATCTTTCTTACAAGCCTAAAACTGTCATTATACGCACAGTTTTCCAATGTGTTGTCTGCTTTAAAATGACTTGTCACAAGTCTTACCTAGGCATCTGGATGAAGCTTTGAGCTTCTCAAAGTGCAAGGTGGGTGAAACACAAGATACAAAGGATTAGAAGGCTGTTGTTAATAGTAGTTGTGACAGTGGCCTTGAGAAGTGAGAAATGCTGTGCATTAGGAGTCCTTAGGAATCTGAACTTGCCTGAACATTGGGTTCTCCTAGAATGTACTTTCTTTAGCTTACTTTATCCATTTCTACTCATTTTACAGTTAGAAAAAACTTCATGATTGGATTGTCTTATGAAAACAACACAGTTTCATAAAATCCTTTCGATGCCCTTTTTTTTTAAGCGCGTCAGCTGACTGTTCAGATGATGCAAAATCCTCAGATTCTTGCAGCCCTTCAAGAAAGACTTGATGGTCTGGTAGAAACACCAACAGGATACATTGAAAGGTACAAGTTCTCTTTTCCATCCTCCTTGTTTTATCTTTCTGTAATCAACATTTCAGGTGTATCTGTTTTTTAAACCATCTAAGATTTATGTATGTTATAGTGGAAACCTAATGTCTATTAGTATATAGTATAGAATTATTGGGAGTTTGTTTAGTAGTACCTATTTAGAGTTAGGCTTCTAAAGTTTATTTTGGTTCAGGTTCATAGGAAGTTTACTGATCTTAATCATTTCTGAGATTTGTTTAGAAGTTTGTGAGAAATACACAGAATTAGGGGCAATTAGCAAGTTTCTTACTTCATTTGTGATGTAAATCATTAATAATATCCCAGGTATCTCATTCAACTTAGAATTCAGCTTTCAAGATCCATTCAGGTTGGTATAGCTCTATATACGTCTCAACTTATTAGCTTCTAAATGTTTCCTGGTTCTCTGGTATGTGTACTGTATTTGATTATCTGCTTTTCCTTCAATGGATTCCTATCTCCATCAACACAGATTCTATTGTGATTGACATCTTAAGAAACAGTTAAGAATTTCTTTAGATGTGTTCTTTGTAGTGGGATTGCTAGTAATGTAGGGTATGCAAACTTTAAAGTACTTGCAGCGTGATTTCCTGCTGCCTGAAGGTTGCTTTATCTTCATGTCTCTGCCAGTAATTGGTATCATCCAGCATTCTAGGATTTTTGTTGTTATTGTTGTTTTTCTTTTGGTTTTATTTTTAAATCAATCTAAGATGTATGGGTTCATTTCGCTTTATTTGTATTTTCTGATTTCTAATGGATTTTGAGCTGCTTTTCATAAAGTTAGCATACCTTTTGGGCTGCCCATTTGCACCTTTTGTCCCTTTTCCTCTTTCATGTTTTGCAGAATTCCTTATGTAGTCTATATTATTATCAACTTCTAGACTTTGGTTCATTTCTACTAATTTTATCCATGGACTCCTCCATCAAACAAATCTTTAATTTTATGTTAGTACAGGTTTTTTTGTTTCTTTTTTCTTTAAATCAATGGCTTGTTTTTTTAAATTGTTTGGGAAGGTTCCTTCTACATTTCCTATTCACTGGTTGAGAAGTTTTACCTTTCAAATTTAAGTCTTTGATTTCTTTAACATCCACCTTTGTATTTGATATTAGTATGTACCCTGTTTCTTTTTATCACTTCTCATTTTTAGTGAGCTAGGTTTTATTAAAAGTATATTAACTATAAGACTTTCCATTTATTTGTGCAGCCTCTTTATTGCATATCATCTTCTTGTAAACACTTGCATTTGTTTTTGAGCAGCACTCATCATATTCTTTTATCATTGTTATGCTTAGTTACTATCACTTCATAGTATGTCTTAATATCTAACAAGGCAAATTCCTTCCTTATATACTCCCCTACCTCCAAATACAACTCTTGTTTCATTGGTCTTTTCCATATTCTTGTATTTATCCATACTATATTCTGTGTCTTTTATATAGTTTCACAGGTTTTTCTTTTTTCATGATAAAGATTACATTCATTTCTATATATGTTGTTTTGCTGTTGTAGATAGTACTATATTAAATCATTAAAGGTAATATTTCATTGTCTCCCCTTCCCCACACACACAACACAAAAAGATACCTGGCAGTTTTAGCTCTATAATCTTCTATGATACATATCACAACACATTTTTTTATATAACATTGGCCAATACTGTGTTAAACATTAACATTAAAGACAAGCATCCTTGTCTTGTTTCCAGGCATATTAAGAGTCAAATATAAAATCTCCCTATTAAATTCAGTGGTGTGTGTGTGAGAGAGAGAGAGGTGGGAGGTGAAGGACTAGGACTCAAACCCAGGGCCTTGTGCATGCTAGGCAAGCATTCTACCCCTGATATACATCCATGGCAGTGCCTATTTTTCCTTCCACCTTTTTCTGTATTGACTCACATACTCTTTTGAACTTTTTCCTTAAGTCTGTAAAGTAGATATTTAGAGTCCTTCAATTCATTAGTGAAATAAGCTTGTGTGTTCAAGTGTGTGTATATATGTATGTGCAGAAACTTTCAGGGGGTAGTAATTGTGGTAATCCTTAACTAGTTTAAAAATGAAGATTTCAAATACCTAATAGAATGAGCAGAGCTGGTTTTACTTTTCTGCAACACCTTGTGTAAGATAGGAATTTGTAAGTGCTCTCCAAACGTTGGGTATAAAGATATGCTAATTAATAGCCCAAGCTTAATTGTATTACACAGGTTCTCTTATTTCTGCTTATTGTCTGCTGTCCTAACAGTTTCTGGGATGGTGATATTAAGAATCTCTAATTTGTTTCTCCCTGTGATTCTTTCATTGTGAGTTGATTACATTTTGAAGCTATATCATTATGTTTGTATGTGGAATGTGTGTACATTCTTTTGTTAAACTAGTGTTCTCCTTTGTATTTCATAGGTTTCTTTTTTTTTTTTTGCCATAAATTCAGTTTTCCTAATATGAAGATACCTTCTTCAGCTTTCTTTTCTTTTTTAAAATCTGATTATCTTTTTCCATCCTGTGTCTTTAATGTTTGCGACTTTATTAAGTTAAGCTTTTTTGCTTTTCAAATTAGCATATTAACAGTTCAAGGGGGATTTTATTTCATTGACAATTCAAATATGCACACAGTTCACTCTTCTATTCCTTAATCCCTTCCTCCCCTCCTTCAACAGTGTTTAGTTCTATTATTTTATCCTCATGGTATGTGTTTGTGTAAATACTTTGATCCTCTTCACGCTTAGTACTTTTTCCCTTCAGTTCCAACTTGGAGAGAGAGAGAGAGAGAGAGAGAGAGAGAGTGTGTGTGTGTGTGTGTGTGTGTGTTTTGCTGGAGATTGAATCCAGAGCCTTGCATGCAAACACTTTGTCACTGAGCTATGTGCCCAGCCCAACTTCTTTACATTTCTTGCAAGTTAAATTCTTTTGAGACTAACATTTTTTATTTTTTAATTTATTGAACTTCTTTTTTTCCTTCTATACTTTCTATTGGATAGTTTGTCTTCTGCTGGTTTCAAAGTTAATAATTCTGTGTTTAGTTGTTAGAGTGGATCATAATCTAAGTTTATATACCCTATTGATTTATTATTCTTACCAGTATCTATAGTGTTTGTAAATTTATTTTCTTGTGCTCTATTCCTTCAAGGCAATAATGAAATTTATTAGCCTATTTGACTACTCATACCTTATATTTTTGCATAATCTCCTAGGGTTTTTATTTCCTCAAAAATTGCTTTTAGCCAGGTGCTGGTTGCTCACGCCCGACATCCTAGCTACTCTGGATCTGGAGATCAGGAGGATCGGAGTATCGCAGTTCAAAGCTAGCCCAGGCAAATAGTTCAAGAGACCCTATCTAGACAAAACACATCACAAAAGTGAAGGCTCTAAGTTCAGACCCCCACTGCCACACAAAAAAAATTGCTTTTAATGAGTATTTATGTCATAATTCTTAAAACCTAATATGCCTATCCAAAATTTTTATCTTTTCTATCTGAATAATTAGCTATAAAGTTATAAATTTAAAATATTTACAATTACAGTTCCTTTTTTCTTGCATAGTGTTTCTTTTGAAGCTTGGTATTAGTTTGATTTCTTTTCCTTTATTGATTATTTGATTTTTTTTTTCCCACTGAACATCTTAGAATTTTCTTTCTTCTTTGATAGTAGTAATTTTTTTTTTTTTTTTTTGGTGGAATTGGATTTGGACTCCAGGCTTCACACTTGCAAAGCAGGTGCTCTGTGGCTTGGGCCATAACTCCAGTCCATTTTGGACTGGTTATTTTGGAAGTGGAGTCTCTCAAACTATTTGCTTGGGCTGTCCTCAAACCTTGATCCTCCCGATCTCAGCCTCTGAGAAAAGAGAAATCAATTATTCTCATTTCACACAATATTTACTCTTTTTATTTTCTATTTGGCTACTGTGACTATTTCCCCCCCACCCTCACAGGACGGGGGTTTGAGTTTAGGCCTTGCTCTTGTTAGGCAAATGCTTTATCACTTGACCTTTCAGCTCTGCTGTTGCTCCTTTTGTCAGCCCTAGAAAGCTTTTCCTTCTGGAAGACCTTTTCAACATCATGTATTTTTCCTTCGGTTGAATCTGTTTCGTTTTATCATGTTCGTTGGCTAGTTTAGTTACTGTATTTTCATACTTGATATTTCCATGTTGTTTTAGAAATTTTTTTTGGTGGTACTGGGCTTGAACTCAGAGCCTTAGGCAGGTGCTCTATCATTTGAGCCACTCTGCCAGCCCTTTTTGTATTGTTTTAATTTTGTTGCGGCACTGGGATTTCCTGTTGGGTATTTTCAAGATAAGAACTAGTTGCCCAGGACTAGCTTCGAACCTCAATCCACCGGATCTCTGCCTCCTGAGTAGCTAGGATTACTGGTCTGAGCTTCCAGCAACCAGCATAGATTTCTTTTATTTCATGCTTTTAATATCTTTACTCATCTCTAAGTATATTTACATTCTTGTTTAAGTTCTTCACCTGTCCAGTAATTCTCCTGTAGATGATTACTCTGTATTGTTCAAGTGTGTGCGTGTGTGCGCACGAGCATGCATGCCGTTACCTAGTTGCCCAGGGGATAGGAGGCGCCAAAAGAGAGCACCAGTCACCTAAGGCTCAAAGTTGGCTGGCAACTCTGGTTTCCTTTAGGAGAGGTAGTCTCCCTTTGTCTAATCCAGTACACCTAGACTAGCTGAGTGACCCTATCCTTCTTTGATCAGTTGTTCATGTTAGCCTAGGAGCCCTGCAGTTGAGCTCCTGTGAAGGGTGAGGGGGACAGGCAATGATTTTTTTTTTTTCCCACGCCAGATGAAGATCTTAAAAGGCTGTCTTCGTTGTTAACCTACTTTAGCCATACCCTCCCCAGGTTGCAGCCCACCATATACCAGTTGAAGACAAGCTACAATCTCATAATTTGCTTATGGGGTGTGTGTACATGTATGTGCATATCGCTGAAATAGAGAAGTTCACTGTGATAGAATGTTTTTCCTTCATTTTTTTAAAAAAAATTTATTTGTGCTTCAAAACGTAAACTCATGACACTGACTTCTCACAATCCAAAGAGAAATGGTTTTCTAAGCTATGCACATTTCCCCTTTGTCTCCCCAAACAGATTATATACATGTTAGTTACTTAACTTCAATTTACATTCACTGCAGTCCCACCTACATGTGAAATTAACCCAGACCACCTAAACTGGAGTTTTGAATGTTCTAAGTTATCTAAATTTCACTGCCAACGGTTTTCTGAAATGATCTCAGTCATTTGAATTTCTTAGCTGCTTTTGAAAATGAAACCCAAAGAACCCTTAAATGGTTCTCTTTGTGGAGATTTTTTATTTTAATGAACACGAATAAGGGTAAATTCAAACAAAATTGAATTAAGTCCTATACCAAATTCTCTTTTCGGGCTCCTCTAATCTTTAGTTCCCTTCTACAGAGGAAATCATCATGGGCAGTTTCAGGGGCTTGCTTTCTGGAGATGTCATCTATAGAAAGCAGATAGGGTTACGGAATACATGTGATACAGACATACGATACCAAACTCCAAAGATTAGGGAGATTATTTCATAGGCATTAGCAACAGAAGCAATCAGTTACTTAAGTACACCTTTTGTTCAAATGGGACACTTACTCATTCACACTCATGCTTCGGTTTCAATATTATGAGAGTGACTTGTGTTTTCCTACGATGCTATGTAACTGGTTTTTAACCTTTCAGCTTGCCTCGGGTAGTTAAAGACGAGTGAATGCTCTCAAAAACCTTCAAGTTAAATGTGCACAGATAGAAGCCAAATTCTATGAGGAAGTTCATGATCTTGAAAGGAAGTACGCTGTTCTCTACCAGCCTCTGTTTGATAAGCGATTTGAGATCATTAATGCAATTTATGAACCTACGGAAGAAGAATGTGAGTGGAAGCCAGATGATGAAGATGAAGTTTCGGTTAGTACCAACTTTTTTTTAGTGTATTTTTAGATGACTAAAAAGTTTATGAATTCTCACAAGTAGTAGTTATTAGTTGTCAGTGAGTATCAGTGTTACATGGTCAGTTGATTTTTTTTTTTTCTCTCTCTCTTAAGTGCCGGAGACCAACAGTGGTGCTTTTATACCTAGACAATGTACTTTTTAAAAAATGGATAGTGTGGATGAGTTACTGTTCAATCTAGTACCATCTGTACCCAAAGTAATTTTTCCTTATATTTTTGAAGTATTTTAACCTTATAGCTTCATATAGACTTTTCTTTTGAACTTAACAGTGACAGGCAAAGGACTTGCCTACAATGATGATGACAGCTGTGGCAGGCATCCAGTGCTATGTTATGTGACCCTTCTTCTCTAGCATTACCATTTTAATGTTGGTAATATTGTTTGATAAAGAGCAACACAGGGAGGTGGGTGCTGCTGTTCACACCTGTATTCCCAGGTACTGAGGAGGCCGAGATCTGGAGGACATCCCACCCCCAACCAATAGATGGGTATAGTGGCATGTACCAGTCACCTCTTGTTGAAGGACAGAGGTTGTGAAGCTTGTTGTTCCAGGACAGCTGGGGCAGAAAAGTCTGTGAGAACCCATTGCAGGAGCTGGATGTGGTGGCATGCTTCCGTCATTCCAGCTATGGCAGAGGCTTAAAATAGGATTACAGTCCAGGCAAAAAGCAAGTGTCTCCAAGATAATCAGAACAAGAAGAGCTGAAGGTGTGGCTTAACCAGCATGAAGCCCTGAGTTCAATCCTGAGTAATATCCTGTTCCCCACCAAAACAAAAGATTACCACATGGTGATTGGACAAGGTAGTATTTTGCTTTTCCTGTCAACAATGCTTAAAAGTCTATTGTTCATGAAGTTCTCTTTTTTCTTTTTTTCCTAAAATGATTTTTCCTATAGCTTTTTGTCTAGTGATTCTTTTTGGAGAGGTATATAGCAATAATTTAAAATTTGGAATACACAAACTAAAATTTGTTTAGTCAAAAATTATAATTGGTGATTGTAAATTTGATGGGTTTTTATTGTTGCTGTACTGGGAATTGAACTCTTGGCCTTGCGCTTGCTAGGTAAGTACTGTATCGCTTGAGCCATGCTCCAGTTCTTTTTGCTTTTAGTTTTACAGAGAGGGTCTAGAGTTTTTGTCCTCCTACCTCCACCTCCTGAGTAGCTGGGATTACAAGTGTATACCACTATACCCATCTGGAATTGTTGTTTTTCTGTGCTTAGGCCACTACCTATAATTTAAGGAGATGTACATGACTTTTTCAAGACACCTAATTATGGTATTCAATAATACGTGCTTTCTCGTACTAAGGAGGAGCTGAAAGAAAAGGCCAAGATTGAAGATGAGAAAAAGGATGAAGAAAAAGAAGACCCTAAAGGAATTCCCGAATTTTGGTTGACTGTTTTTAAGAATGTTGACTTGCTCAGTGACATGGTTCAGGTAATTTTATTCATAAAAACACCAGTTTACCTGAAAGGGTAAAGCCTTTGAAATTTAGAGATGATTGGTTTCTTTTTTTTTTTTTTTTTTTTTTGTTAATACAGTATCTGCTTTCTATAGAAGAAAAACTACAGCGCTGATTACTATAAACAAAAGTTCAGCAAAAAATTAGATTTACAAAACAGTGTCATCCATGATTGATCATTATTGACTGGTGCTTTCTCATAACCCTGTGCCATCTTGTCATTACATACTTAGTACTGAGATAGGATGAGGAAGACAATCTTAAAAGTTTTCATTTGTGTTGCCTCTAAATATCTGTTCAGTCTGAAAATAAAGGTAATCCCAGGAATGTTTGCATTTTAAAAGAATGCTACAAAGATGTTTACTCATTCACAATTGTCTTGTTCTCTGGGGTGGCAGCAAAGCACCTTCTTTGGGAAACTTTGCCTCTCAAGCATTTCTTGAGCCTCTACTGTGTATATTGTAGTACTTTTTCCCTGTTTTGTGTTTGTTGGAATTTACTTGGAAAAAAATTATCTCAAACATAAATGAGTGCTTATTGCATTTCTACTTCAGCAAAGTAAAAAACGAACAAGCAATTACAAAAGGCAACAGTTATAATCAAGAAACATTTTTAAAGTGAACATTTTTTTGAGACTTGGTTTTTTATTTTTCAGACTATTTGACTGTATAATGATCTCTTCACTATCTTTTCTCTACCCAAACTTAGCTTCATTGTAAGCCATAATCTTGACAGAGTCTTAGGTTCAAGAAGTCTCAGTCATCTAGTATTTATGTAATAATAGAACATTGACTCTAAAATGGCATGTTAGAGATAATCATTTTTATTCTTTTCATTTGAAGGAACATGATGAACCTATTTTGAAGCACTTGAAAGATATTAAAGTAAAGTTCTCAGATGCTGGCCAGCCTATGGTAAAAAGAATTATGAAATATTTGTAACTAACAGAATGCATGCTTTTATAAATAGAAATGAAAGTTTTTAAAAATACATGTCATTCAAGACTTGGGGATGGAAGGAAGAAGGAATTAAAAATACTTAATTGTAGGAAATAAATATTTGAATGTTACTAATTGTGATGCTGTATTTCTTTTCTTTGTTAGCTTAAGCTGTTTTAAAAATAGAGATGATTGTTTATCTTGTATTAAAGTGGATAAAAAAATAATGGCAAGAAAACATGAATACGTAAATACTTAATTAAATAGTCATGAACTTGGAAATGATGTTAGACACCCCTCCCCCCAACTAATCCATGAGGAGAGATCAACTAACAACCTCTCTTTAAAACCACCAGAATTGTGTCAACTGTGGGCAAAGCTACTATAAATAGAAGCTTTATCTTTTTTAGGTTGAGCTTTTTCTGTGTCGAGCTCAGGTTCTAGTCAGATTTAAAAGTTGCCTTCCTGGGGGAGGTGGGGAAGAAAGGGGATCTGGACAGTTTATTTAGGTGTACCTAGCTTAAATGGTAGTTGTAAACTCAAATTACATTGTTTAATTTATGCCTTGTTTGGCTTTTAACATAATTTGGGATTTTCCTTATATTTCCGTTCTTAAATTATATTCCAGAGTAAAGAGAACATTTAATTTTTATTTGCTTATAGAAATCACATATTAAGCTATTTAACAATGCATTAAAATTCAGGATGTAAGAATTTAACTTACGCTGTTTTTTTTTAAAGAGTTTTATCCTAGAATTTCACTTTGAACCCAATGAATATTTCACAAATGAAGTGTTGACAAAGACATATAGGATGAGGTCAGAACCAGACGATTCTGATCCCTTTTCTTTTGATGGACCAGAAATTATGGGCTGTACAGGGTGAGTAAGTTGTACTACTTTAATGATGTTACGTCTCTTCTTGTTGTAACTTACCAAATACTTGATATTTCCATTGTGTGTGCTTGATAAATGCATATGTACATAGTTCATTGCCATACACCTCAGTAAAAGTTTTCTGGCGTTTTCCTAAAATTGGCTTTAGGCCTGTGACTACCACACATTCATTTCTCCAAAGGTACGAACTGTGTGTTATTTGCTGATTGTAAATATTTTTATCTTAAATTCTTTTGTTAGAAACAAAAATCTAAGATTTTCTTTATAGAAAAAAATCTTGACACATTGTCTAAAATTTGAAACTGAGATGTAGCACTCCCAAAAAATTTAGCAATTGAAGCACGCTAAATTAAATTATTTTTTCCCTCTTTGTTTTGCAAGGTGCCAAATCGATTGGAAAAAGGGAAAAAATGTCACTTTGAAAACCATTAAGAAGAAGCAGAAACACAAGGGACGTGGAACAGTTCGTACTGTGACTAAAACGGTTTCCAATGACTCTTTCTTTAATTTTTTTGCCCCTCCTGAAGGTAAGCATTGTTTTACTTTGGTTATTGATAGTTGTTTTGTTGTTTGCTTTAATTCTTTATTCATTTGAATTTCTTTTCTCATTTTGCAGTTCCTGAGAGTGGAGATCTGGTAAGTTCTTCAAAAGTGTTGTATGGGATAGTTGAGCTGCTAGCATTCTCTAAACAGTTTTTTGTTTTTGTTTTTCTGTGTTGCTGGGAATTGAACTCAAGGCCTTCTGAGTGCTAGGCAAGTACTTCACTGAGCTACAATCTCTGGCCAGTTGCCAGTATTGTGTTCTGAGGCCTGTAATGCCTAGGAGTAGACATTTATGAATCCGAAAAATTTGTCCATTGAAAAATGATGTTTCTTCACTAAGAAACACTGAAATGATAAGCTGAACACTTTTTTCTAGGCTTAGATGTTTTTGCCATGAATTTAATTTTTTTCCAAATTATTGTTCTCTTTCTTAATGAACAGAGAATATATTAAGTCACATACCATCTTAAACTCTAGCTACATTATGGCTAGGATATATTTGTTATTCCCATGGAAAAAAGGTTTCATATTGGTCTTATACATAATGGGATATGTGGCATGTGGTCAAGGACTGTGGAATGTTCCTGCCATATAGCCTGAACCGAGGGGAATAAACTCAAAAGAGTCCATACAGACAGAGTATGCCCGGTATGTTTTGAATTTGCTTTTATGTTGGCCATATATTTGAATTTAAAGTAACTGAGATATTTTAAATTGTTTTTTGAAAACATGTGAAATTTTAAATTAGTTAATTTGAATACTTTTGAATTAGAAAAATCTTGGCTGAGGCTTAGACCAGATTTACAAAAGGCAAGTACATCAGTCTGAAAAGAGTATTAATTGCTGGCTTGGCTCAAAATGTCTTTTGTAGCACAGACTATGGTATTTGAATTTTTAGGTAAGAACAACAACTTACAAGCATTAGAACAGGATTCATACCATTTTTACGTCATTGGAGTTGAAGTTTGTGTTGACGTGCTTTTTTTTTTTGGTTTATTACTAAGCCAAAAAACAATCTTTATAGTTATGTATAGAAACAATCTTTATAGTTATGTATAGAAAACCTCTACTTGTGATTAGGATTCCTTCTTTCATAGTCCTCACACAGCCCTCCTTTTAATACTTTTTGTTTGTTAGGGTGAATTATGTTGATGACTCATTAAGCATTTCATGGGAATTCACAGACTCTCTACTCATTTTATTATCAAAACTTAAGTGGAATTTAAAAGAACAAATTTGAAAATAACCATTTCTTTGTACTTTGCCATTAAGAAGAGTCCTGGGTTGACTTTTTGGTTTATCAGTTGGGACTCTACCTTCTCATTTGGTACAAAGTAGACAGCTGCTTGGGTACTGTCTTTTAGGAAATGTGAAGTAATCATCGGTGGTCTCTTAATGCCACATACTTACTGTTACTATTTGTGAAAGCCCAAGATTATTTTTCTTTCATCTTCCAACGTACTCAGTGTTATTTCAAGACAAAAATTGTCATAATACAATCAACTTGTTTTTACATTTTACTGTTTGAATCAAAAAAAAAAACACACACACTAAGCAATTGCTATTTCTAATTAGTTTTTTTGTTGTTTTTGGTTTTTTGGCAGTACTGAGGTTTGAACTGAGGGCCTTATGCTTTCTAGATGGGTGCTTTACTACTTCAGCCACTTCTGCTCTCTAGTTCTAATTGTTACTTATATTTCCTATTATGTGCACGGGTCTGCTGATTCTATTTTTATTAAACACCTGTAAACTTAGCACATGTAGATGTCTCCTTTACCTACGTGCATAGAGAAAGTAAAGTTGAAGGTGTCTTCATGGTTTGAATGCGTGAATTTTATATATGCCAAAGTAAATAATGGAGTTCCAATTTAGTGCTTTTATTTTCCTAAAAAAAAAAAATAGGATGATGATTCCGAAGCTATCCTTGCTGCAGACTTTGAAATTGGTCACTTTTTGCGTGAGCGTATAATCCCAAGATCAGTGTTATACTTTACTGGAGAAGCTATTGAAGATGATGATGATGATGTGAGTAAATTCAAGTCCTGTAATGAAATAATCATAGCGTATGATATTCAAAATTAGTAGAAAGTTAGATTTAATTTTTTTAAAGTGAGACAGTCAATAGTTAAAAATAAGGCTAGTAACTGATAATCCTGGAGATAGATTTTTCTGAGTTTCAAGTAGGTCTCCTTAAGATCTTTGGATTTATTTATCTTAGCTTTTATTTTTCTACTAATATGAAGATTATTCTGAATTAGTTATGTTCTTGCCTTTGACCACACAAAACATAACAAACCTTTTTTTAGCATTTAAGATAACATTCAGGCAGCATAGAATTTTTTTTTAAGGCTGTGTTATAATGGTCATTATTAGACTGCCCTTCAATATTTTGAACACCTTTATTATTAATAAGTGTTAGGTCTTGTGTAATGTGTTCACACATAAGTACAGGCAAGTAATATTTACAGTACTCACCTGGTTGCAACTTATCTGCATAATTAGAATATGTTCTTTAATTTTACAAGTCGTCAGGTTATAGATAATGGCACTAAGCTAATGTTTTCCTCATTTTAGAGAAAAGACTTTTTTTCCCACTTCTTAGATTTTAGTGTTTAAAATAATAGATGTTATTAATGCTGTTCTCAATTGTGTTTTATATTTCTGTTACATTTTCTCTTTTCAGTATGATGAAGAAGGTGAAGAAGCAGATGAGGTAATGTTTACCAAATGAGCAAATAATTCTCTGTATTACACATTGAGAAACAAACTGAGTGACTTATGTATTCCTTTACTATAATCATTCTGTGATTTGGGATAAATTTTGGAAAATGATTTTAGAATTCTACAGCCAAACAATGTATGTATAAGGTTTCAATAAATAACTTGCAAAACTCAGCAAATTTTTTTTTTATTTCAAATAATTTTGTTCTGCTGCAGGGTTATCAGCTCTTTGAAGAAGTCAAAAGCTGCAGTAAACTTTTTCAACGTTGGCTGCAGTAAAACTTTTCAATAAAAGCTGTCTGGATGTCTCGAGTTGTGTTGGGAAATTTTTCATATTAGAAGCTTTCAAATTAAATTGTATTGTCACCAGACTCTGTAATCATGAAAATCTATTGACCCATAGAGTAACTTGTATTGAAATTTCCCTACATTATTAGCCAATTTTTCCTACTCTGTACTTTCTTCATGGCTGCATTTTGAACTTTAATATAGGAAGGGGAAGAAGAAGGAGATGAGGAAAATGATCCAGACTATGACCCGAAGGTGAGCAAACCTAGTGCTGTTTTCTATAAATATAAGATAGGCTAAAGTATTTTTCACAGTTTAGACCAGACAAACCCAAACATTTTATTAATGGCACCTTTTGAACATTGCAGGGTTTTTCTGTTTTGTTTGGTTGATGGGACTGGGGTTTGAATTCAAAGCTTCACTCTTGAAAAGCAGCTGCAATACCATATAAGCTACACCTCCAGTTCTGTACTTTGCAGTGTTTAAGCATTAAAAACTCATGGGTTCTTAGATTGTTTTCGCTCCAAAGGAAAGCTATTTAAAAGGGGGGGGGGTCAATTATTAAGAGATCTGAATGCAATAGTGCTTGGAAACTCTGGGAGCCATATTGTTGATTAGATTCTCCTAAACACCACTTTAGTCCCTTAGTGTTCTAGTCTGTAATTCCTGGAAATTTAGTTTGTTGTGTCAGGGTTAGAAAAGGCTTTTATCTCCCACAAAATATGTAGTAAATTAAGTTATCAGGATTCATTTGAAACTTAGGATTTGTCTTTTAGTAAGTTCATTTTGCTAAGTGCTAAAAAAATATCCAGAAGGTATGTGGACCTACGTGAACAAGTAAAAGGATAATTTAAAATTGAATTAAATATTCTGATAGTCTGTAAATAGAATTAATCTTTGAATATAAAAAGGCAAAAATAACTGATAATATGACTAATACCCAAATTGGTTACTTTATTTTTAAGATTATAGGTTCCCCCGCCCATGCATACCCATATTCTTTCTTTTTCATTTTATATTTGGGGTGTGTATATGTGTGTGTGTGTGTGTGTGTGTGTTTGTCTGTGTGGTGGTACTGACGTTTGAAGTCAGGGCTTTTCACAAGCTCACTAGGCAAGTGCTCTTCCACTTGAGCCACACCTCCAGCACAAGTTTATATTTTTGTTAGTGCATATTAGTTGTACAAAAGTATTTCATTGTGGCATTTTATACATGCATATAATGTGTTTTGATTATTCACCCCATCTATTAAAATTATAGTTTATTGTGTCTCATTTTATGATGTTATTTCTGCAGTGTGAAATGTGATAGCATTTCAATGACTTGATAATATTTGAATAATTTGCCACCATCCTGTACTGTTTCTTTAATTGTCAAAAATGTGATAAGTGAAATACAGTAATAATTAAGGTAGTTAATTACTGTTGATAAATACATTGAAGCAGGTAGAAGATAGATTGACTTGTTGTTTTCCTTTAACAGAAGGATCAAAACCCAGCAGAGTGCAAGCAGCAGTGAAGCAGGATGTGTGGCCTTGAGGATAACCTGCACTGTAATAGCCTAAACACAACTATGATTTACTTACAGCCTTATGTTTTTGTATTTTCTTGGTAGACTCAGTAATTTTTTTTAAAGGAAAGGAATTGATATTTTAATGACCAATTTGTTCTAACGTAGCATTTTAACTATAGCTTTTCTGTCACATCTGTTGAATGCAAATTCTCTCATGCATGTTCATTTATTGCTGCAGTTTGGTTCTTTTGGAATATTTTCATCATGTAGCTATTTGAATACAACTATGAAAATTAACAACTGTTGAACATGTTTTTTTGTTTGGTTATTTTTTTTCCTAAAGAACCAAAGTAGTTTTCACCTGGCTAGTAGGATGGGTTTAAGTCCACTTGCATTAGTTTTGCTTTTCATTATGTTGTTACAGAAATGCAGTGACTTAATACTAAGACGTCATTTAAAGGAGAGAGAGAAAAAAAAACAAAACTGTTGAGAATTTCCAGTAAGACTGAACCCAATAACTGTTAGATAATTAATGGATTTTTGTATTTTAGCTGGTACAGTTGATTATAAAGAAGTCTTAACTCATGGTTATTGGTTACCACAGGAAGCTGAATAAAACCTAGACTCTTCAGAAGTTAATCTAATAGTATTAATAGTATACTTTTAAATTTAACCTCCATTAACTAAGCATTTTTTCTTTGTGGTAGGGTCTACCTTCTGCTTTCCTGGAAAGGATGAAATTGCATCATTTGATGAGCCTATTTCAAGTTTTTTGTTGTTTGTTTGCTTTTTTTTTTTTTTGCAGCTTAAAATAAAAATGTCATACATAATTTTAGTTCTCACAGGATAATGTCTTAATTTTGTACTAATTCAGGTTAGGAGCAGAGGCATAACTCTAAGTAAGGATATGCCTAGTTTACCATATTATTAAAAGGGTGCCAACTTTGAAAGAGGTTTTTTTGGAACCGATAATAAGAAAGTGCTAAGAAAAGAAAGTAGACAAACTCTTAAATGTTGTGGTTGGGTTTTTATAAAAAATTAAATTTTATTTACTTTGGGTTAGAAGTAAACAGAAAGCCCTTAGCCTCTGATTTGTTGTAATTCTTATTGCTTAAGTATGAGTATATCATTTACCCATGCTTCTGTTTACTTTGTATTAAGATGGGTAGTACTGTTCACTTAACTACCTCACAGATATGTTAAGGCGTATTAAGTTGAATCTTATGAACTGTTTCTCAGTCTCATTAAAAGCTCAAAAATTTGGGCCTCTCTTTACCACCAGTGTGATATTTAGCATTTTATTCATGCCAGGCTTTGATAATTAAACTGGAAAATGAAGTTTAAACACCTGTTCTGGATCAGACCAGACAAAACTTTTTAGATCTTTGTGTGGCTTCTGTTTTAGTGAAAGTGGGTGGGATGGAGAATGAACTATGTCAAAAGGTCCAGGGTTGGTTTTTTGTCGTCCCCCCCCCCCAGATATTTTAGATGACTATATTATAGTAAATATTATAGGGATCATGGGATTAAAGTGGTAATAAGGCCATGGGGAGGATGCCATTAAGTTTGAGACTTGTAGAGCCACATTTAAAATACCTCAGGCTAATTACTGTTAATTTTGGGGGGTAAACTTTTTTGGACAGGGTAGACTTATTGGATTGTAATTAGAGGGTCTGGAGTTCCTGCTGTTAATAAAATTACATTGAATTCATTTTTAGAAGTGATGAGTTTTGTTTTTGAAAATTTTAGTATTAAGGTCTTAGAATGTGAATATGTTATTTGTGTAGAACTATCTATACCTCTTCCTCAGATTTTTAACTTAACTACTGGAAATCCTTAACCAATTATAATACGTTTTTTTCTTTGTTTTCAAAATGATTTGGTTGCTTTTATTCAACGTTCTGTGCTGATATTTTTTGTAACCATAGTTCATCTAAATACAGCTTTTTTCTGAACTTTTAGTAGTCTAAAGATAGAATCCCATTTTTAGTGAACTTACAGAAGTAGCAAAATCATTATTTTTCATTCCTTTAGGAAATAGGTATTGCCAAAGTGAAGAGATAGATCATACTTCATCTTGTTATATAATGGGGATGTGGTTTGCAGAGAAATTGTTTCCTTTATAAAATTGGAGTTTCAAGGAATGTCAGCGTTCACTTATGCCATTTCTTCAGTTCCAAAACGGTTCTATTCCATTCTAGAAATATGTAATTTGAAAACCTTAATAAAATTTGGATCTAATTTTATAAAATATACTGTGATATTTGAATTTTTTACAAAATATGAATATACTTTTTTGAAGATTGGAGAACAGATATCTAGTTATTCTGTATTTAGACCACTACAACTTGTAAATCTGTATAATTTAAAGAGCAACCTTCCTGATAAATGGAGTTTGTTAGAGACCAGAAAGTAATTCCATAGTTTGTGACTTATGGAAGTTTTATTCTTACTTATCTACGAACATTTTTGAGATACTTCAATTTGTCTTTGCAGTCTCAAATTTTAGTTTTCATTAATCCATTCTCTATCAAGAAGTTTTCTTTTTTCTTTTTTTTAAATGGTACAATCCCATACAGTCATCTATAAAGAAAAACTTTGAAAAGACTAGTTTTGAGAGTATCATTTTATGGTCATTCGGGTATTGTAAGTGAGCAGAGATCAACAGTTCCATACAGAACCTGGGTGCCTGAAAGTTTCATCTATAATTTCTTTGAATGCTTTCATCTAGTTCATTGAAGCAGTACTAATACTGTATTCATGAAAATATCTTAATTGTTTGTAATTGGCAAGTTGGTACTTTAAAAAAAAGGGGATTCTACCTCTTTCTTTTGGGCTTGTTTAGCAACAAATAACCGTGAAAATGAGATACTCGCTTTGATGAAAATATTTTCACTATTCTGTGGCTAGATTAATGATAGTGATTATCTGATACGGCCTAGGACATAACTGAATTTATATTACTCCTGCTTGAATTTGTGGGTGTATCTGAGTTGTAGGCTGTTGCCATTAAAAATGATAAATTTGAGTTATTGTTTGTGAAAACCTTTCCATGCCATGCAAAAATATTAAGCTGTGATTTCAGGACATGATTTAAGATTTGAGTGCAATTTTTATGAGTTAGTCTTAATAAAAATTTTAGCCTTTATATTTTCCACTATTTAAATCATGCTAAATATTATTACATGTACAGAACAGATAGTTTAGAAAAAGCATGACTTTTTTTGGGTAGGAATTTTAGAGAAGAAATATATATGTACTAATTTGTTCTTTTAAAAATCTGCACTGTATATATACCTTACTTGAGGTCTGTTTTGTTTTGAAAAATAAGTGTTCATAATTTAGGTAATTTGTCACATAAAGCACTAAGTATCTGAAAAGTAAATGTACATGACAATGGTGAAATAATACTGAAACTTCATAGATGTATACTGATTATTTTATATACTGGTTTTGAAATCCAGACATTAAAATACAACCTGGATTAAGAAGCCAAGTTCTTGGACTGATTAAGGTTCACTCACCACTTACGACTTCAAAGAAATGAAAACATCCTTGGTAGTGTACAGAATTATTTTAAGGATAAGTATTTATCTTTAAGAAGTCTTAGGTGTATGTATTGTGTTGATTTATTTTCAAAATGGCAATACTGCGTATCTTGTATTTCTTCCATGTGACATCCTACTGTGCTTTCAGGTTTTTAAATTTTCAGTTAATGACTAAAATTCTTAAGTACAGAGGAGAAATAATGACCTTACTGACAGGAAATTGACCATTTGTAGCTTTTGTGGATCTCTTGTTTTGAAACTCAGGGTAACCTGTTGTTTAAAATGAAAGCAGGGCTTTTTAATTTCTCACGTTTTTAAATTAGAACTGAAAAGGAGGAAAATGGTAATAAAAAATGCAAGTGTCAGAAGTCAGATTTATGGTTTTCATAAGATCAGGCAGTTGTGGCTCTGATGGACTTTACAGGGTATAAAATAGTTTCTGCTAAAATACTTAAAACTTGATTGAGAGCTTTTAGTTGGGATTTTGAGGATGGGAAGGAATTTGCAAAGTGCAGTTCAGCTGAAGGAACCAAACTAAGACATGATTGATACACTCATCCACTGGAAGGTAAGAGACATTTGAAGCAGGCCCCAGGGTTGGTTAAAGGCTGTGAGGGTCCCAGGGTCTTATATAAGAAATGGAAAAGTAAAGTAACAAGAGTATGGTACAGCAGGTATGAACAAAATGGGATTAGAGAGCTGCTAAAATAAATTCCTTTTACTTAGCCAAGAATAATAAACAGGGTTTTTTGTTTTTTCTTTAAAACACGGATTTGGGTATATCTAGTTAATCCCCTTAGTCAAGCTACAGATTGCATTTCTTCCTCTTACTCTGAAAGTATAAATTATAGTTGAGAGAATTCATGTATATTCTTTACTCAGCTCACCATTTGACATTTTACTAACATTCATTATTCTCATGTGCGTAAATAGATATACATTATTTTTTCTGAATATTTGATGCAAAATTGTAGACATGATGTTTGTTTACCTTAGTTTGAAGACATTCTTTTAATCACAGTTTATCAAAAGCAGGAAGTTTTAAAGTATAATTGTAGTTCATTTCATTGCTTATATCATCAAAGCCAGATTTGGCCAGTGGTATCCTGTGCACATTATTTGAGTGCTTACATATTTTATGGCTCAGAGATTTTCTAGGCTCATCATAGTCTTTTTATTTTTCCTATCCCAGAATTTGGAAGAAGCCATCTCTTCATGGATCTCTTGTTTATAGTTGGAAATATTACTTAAAAACTAAGTCCAGGTACCGGGTATGTTTTGTTCCTAGGTTGTCCCTAGACCCTTTCGGGTGAAAGATTTATACAGTAACATACATACTAAAAATGAATGACATAGTGAATGCTTTGAAGTTCAGTCCTACTCAATAGGATTTTAATAGTCATAAGTCCATGCCTGTAATGATCTTGAAATAAACAATTCACTGATTCAACAAGGAATTTCAGGTTAAATTCCTCTAGAGATATACACCATGAATAAAAATGATAAAGGTGTAATTTTTAACCAAAGCTTGCAGTCGCTACCCTAAATAGGTGTCTTCCTTCTTTTTTCTTTTGCAGTACCAGAGTTTGAACTCAGGGCCTTGTGCTTACTAGGCAGGCAACTCTTACCACTTGAGCCATTCCTCCACCCCAATTACTTTAAAGCTTTAATGGATATGTATAAGAAGTATGCAGTTGTGTATTATGGTTGAACTTAGGCTTTGTGGTCCATCTGCCATTTTAGCATTTAAAAAAAAAACCTTAGAATTCTAGAACCTGATGTATCCATGAAAATTACGTCCTTAGCATTAAAAAAAAAAACTTAGAATTCCATTGGAATCACTTTGGTAAGTTAATCTAGGAACTATTGAGGGGTTTCTTTAATTGACTTAAAGGCCAAAGTCTTCCCTAGGTCAAATGCTTTAATATCCATAAGAATTCTGAGACTAAAACTGAACAATGCATCTAAAGTTAGTGTCCCTTTTTTGAAGAAGATAGTTTGCTGCCCTTAAAGTAGCTAATCTCATTCCTTTTTTTAAGATTATTTTTTATTTAATGGTAATGGGTGTTGAACCATGGCCTTGTGCAGACTAGGGAAGCACTCTACCACTTGAACTATATTCCTAGCCCTTCTGTTTTGAGACAGGGTCTCAGATTGCATGGGCTGGCCTCAAACTCATGATACTCCCATCCTATACCTTCTAAGCAGCTGGAAATAATTACATCTGGCTTCATCTCATTTTAAAATGTGTATTTAGTTTCTTTGCTGTTTG